AGTGTTGGCAGGTGCCTAGAAACGTGTGCAAAGAATGCTGCCTGTGTGCTTTCCTGTGGCTGCCAAAAAAAATGCGGTGGCAGAGAAACACACATTTATTCTCTTGTGGTTCTGGAGGTCAGAAGTCTGAAGTCACTTTCATGGGCTGAAGTCAACAGGTTGGCAGAGCCAGTTCCTTCCTTCCGGAGGCTCAGGGGAGATTCTGGTTCCCAGCCTTTTCCGGGTCTAGAGGCCCCCTGCATTTGTTGGCTGGTGGCCGCTCCCTTAATCGCTCCAGACTCCCGCTTCTATCAGCACATCTCCTTCATCCTCCTTCGGCTTTTTTGCCTCCCTCTTGTAAGGACACTTATCTTTGGACTCACCTGGGTAATCGCGGCTGATCTCCCTAGCTCAAGATCTTTAACTTAATAACATCTGAAAAATCCCCTTTGCCATATAAAGTAATAGTCACAAATTCCAGAGTTTAGGATCTGCGTATCTTCGGGGCCACCATTCAGCCTCCCACATGCCTCACCCCAAAGAAACACAGGGTGGTGAGAAGCAAACAGCCCTGAGCTGGACCCCAGAGTCTTCAGTGCCCCCAGCTTGAATGACCTTGCACTGACGAGAAGCAGCAAAGTAGGGTGGGCTGCAGCCTCTCCCCCCACCTGCCCCCGATCCTGCCACCTCCATGGATGGCTCTCCAGGTCTCAGGAAGGTCAGCCGTGACATCTCACTTGAACTTCCTCCTCGTGCCCAGTGGGTGGCCTCAGTGCCAGACACCTGTGAAGGATTCTGCCCTGCCTTGGTTTTAGTCAGTCAAGCTTGGCTGACAGGCTGGTTTTCTGTTGCCCAGTGGATGAGGAAGGTCTGAACAAGGAGACTTTGTGCACAGGGCCACCACTTACAAGCTGTGAGACCTGGGGCAAGTTTCTCAACCTCTCTGTGCCTCAGCATATTCAGTGATAACATGGACAGAGGTGGAGATAGCAGTACCTCCTCACGTGGTGTTCGGGCAGTATAAATGTGCCGACCGGCGCAAGCCACTTAGGGTGAGCCCAGCACGCAATCAGCGGAGGAAAAAGTAGCAACTATTTCATTGCCGACTGTGTGCTGGGGCCAGGTGGGTGGTCAGCCCCTGTGCTCAACATTGCTTGCCAGAGTGGAGGCCACTGGTGGCTCACCCCCAGAGCTTGGAAAAGGATCAAGGGGTCAGACTGGCTTTGAGTTGACAGGAGCTCTGGCTGCTGCCCTGCACCTCACGGGCACCAGACTCTATCCAGGGAGAGAAACACACAGAGATGTCACATTTCCCAAGAACGACTGAATGTGGCTGGAGACCTTGTGATTGGGTCTTCATACCAGCCTTGTTATTAGGCTCACGTGCCAGCCGCTTGCTTAGAGAAAGATGCTGTGTCAAGCTCCCAGAGAAAAGAGATCTATGTCATTGACTTGTTCCTTCTGTTTATGGCTCCTGGAGTCTTCAGAAAGAATTTGTCTTTAATTTTGCCAGCACTTAAATGGATTAGCAAGGAGACTGGAGATATCAGGTCTTACAAAATTCACTTACAAGGGGTTAAAAGTACAACTTTTAGAATCAGACATACCTTACCCTTGCCTAGTACTAGCCGTGTGACCTTGGGCAAGTTACTTTACCTCTCTGGATCTCAGTGTCCTTATCTGTAAAATGGAACTAATAACTGTTATAAGATTATGCACAGAAGGAGCTCAGCCGAAGGCCTGGCACAGAGTCAGCACACAACACATCTTACCTGCTGTCAACTTGCCATCCATAAGAAAGAATCACCTGTCTACCTGCTGGACTGTAAAAGTTTGTCTCACACACATCTGTGTGTCCCCCAAAGCCCCTAATACACAATAGGGACCTAAAGGTTGCCAGAATCAAATTCTTTAAAAAGTCATTCATTTTTTTTTTTTTAAATGCATACCTGTCATCCCTCATGCCTTTGTGATGAAATATCTCCAAGAATAAACGGTGTCTCCAATACTCAGTTCTGGCCTGTGTGTCCCATCCAGGGAGTGGCCCACAGGGACTTGGCCTTGGGGGAGCTTGTGTGGTACAGTGTAAGGGACAGGAGATGGGCTTCAAAGTCAGCCAGATTTGAGTGTGAATCTTGACTCTGCTGCTTACAGCTGTGTGACCCCAGGGCAAATTACTAACGTCTCTGAGACTGAGACATAGTGGGCCTAATCATCCCTTGAAGGGTGCCTGTGAGGACTGGATGCACGCTGCTGATTTCATTATTGCTACAGCTGGTACTTCTATTACTATTAGTACTCTGCCTTGCGGGTTCCTTAACATCCTTCTTTTTCTTTTCCCGTCAGCTCTCTCTGGCTCAGGCCGCCCTCCTTCCCTCTCCTCTGCCTCTATGACCCACTTGCTTGGTGCTTTCCAGTTTTCCTGAGAGCTCAGTCTACAAAAGCCTATTCAAAAAGAACAGGCACCTGACACCCTTTGACCTTGGTTCATGGGGAGGTGGCCTGAAACCCCCCAGGCAGGACAGGAGCAGCAGCGGTGACTCAGAACCTTTCTTCCCACCCCCACCCCACCCCACTGCCTGGGACTGGAACTTGGTGACAAAAAGGACCGTGGGCTGAAACCTGGCCGAGAGGGCCCCACTGAATTCTTCCTTTGTGACGGGAATGTGGCACGGCCTGCTCCCTGCCAGTGGAGCCGGGGATCCCTTTCCCAGTTATGCAGCTTGGCAGGAAGAGGTTGGGGCGCAGGGAGAATGGTCAAGCAGCCTCTTTGTCTCAGGGGCTGTTCATGCTGCCAGGCACCTCTGACTGCCGAGATCTCCTCCCCCTAAAGCCAGCTGGGCTGGACGCTTCTGGAAAGGCACCTTCCAGGGCCACGGGGCAGAGGTCTGGCCACGTGAGGGTCTGGATCAGATCGCTGGTTTCTAAACTGTGTTCCATAGAATTACTGGGATTCAGCTGGAAGCGGGCGAGGAAAGGCTTGACCGTCAACCCTTGGAACCCTGTGCTCTGCTTCAGCCAGAGCAGCGCTGCTCTCTACTGATGAATTTACTTAAATCATCGCCTTTGTATTACATTCACAGAGACGCCAATTCAGGTGTGGACAGTGATGACCCCACTTGGGTCTCGGCCAGGTGGAGCACTTTGTCAGGCAGAGCTGTGACTACCTCCCCCCAGGGAAATCCCTGTTGGCTCTGGTTGGCCAAAGATGTGCATGGGGAGCAAAGATGGCTGCCCAGGTGGAGGACGGAGGCTCAGGACTCACATATCCCTGCCAGCTTCTGCCTTAGGAATGCCAGGGATCAGCTGAAACCTCCACCCCCACCAGGGAATATTGGAAGAGTCACCTTTTCGGGTCAGAATGGAAATCACATTTAATCTGGGCACCGTTCCCATGTCACTGGCAAATCATTTGCATGCAGATATAAGATGTGGTATAGGTTCTCCTGAAAGCTAACTAATCCTTTCCCCCTCAGCATCCACCTTGGACTAGGAAGTTCCCCTAATTGATGTAAGACATTGGTTAACCTTTTAAACTTGCCAGATACTCGTTCATTCATTCTGCAGATAGTTACTGAGCACCTGTTGGGTTCCCAACACACAGGGCTGGGTCCTGGCATACAAAGATGAGCAAGGGAGACGAGAGGTTTCCTTCAGGGAGTTTACACTCCAGCTGGGGAGACAAGGAGCCAACGAGAAAACAGACCAAGACTGTTATAGTTATAATGTCATCCGTCCATGGGAAGAAATGTCATCAAGGAACCAAGTATGGGGCTTGAGAATAGCTGGGTGGGGGGTAGGGGGACTTGTTTTACAGGGAGTGTCAAGGAAATCCTCACTGAGAAGGTGGCATCAGAGCTAAGAGACAGAAGAGGTAAAGAAGTAGCCACACAAAAGAGACAGAAGGAAGAGTGTTCTAGGCAGCTGGAAGCACCAAGTACAAAGGCCCTGTGGCAAGAAGTGTTTAGTGTGACTGAGAACAGAACAGAAGCCACTGAGGGTTAGTGAACCGAGAGAGGGGGTTGTTTCTGAGGTGGGAGCCCAGGTCCAGTATGGTGAGATTGGAAGGTCATGGCAAAGGAGTTTGGATTTTATGCTAAGAGTAATGCAAAGACATGGATGGGTTTTTAGAAATTCCTATTACAAAATATTTCAGCCAATCAAAAGAGGACATACCTCAGATACATGTGAAGTTTAAGGAGTACAAGAAGCAGTGAACCCCCGTGTGCCTTCACCATTCCCCTCCCCAGCACCACTGCTCACTCCTCCAGGAAGGTAGCTGTTACCCTGAATTTCGGTTTATGATCTTTGCCTTTCTTCCTAAATTATTTGGTTTTGCCTGGTTGAACTTCATATAAATGGAATCCTGTTGTGTGTATTCTTCTGCAGTTTGCGTTTCGGTCAATCTCCGGTTTGTTGCAATGACCCCCGTGGCCAAGCGTAGCTGCAGTTTGTTCCTCGTCACTGTCCGTCCTAGTCCACCGGATAATGCTGTCATGGCTTATCCCTTCTCCTGGGCCGTGACTTGATTCAATTTCCTAACATTAGACAAATGCAACTTGATTGTGATGTGTTATCTTCTTTTTTTTTTTTTTTTTTTTTTAACATTTGTCAGGTTCCATTGGCTGACATTTTGTTGAGGGCTCTTGTTTCTGTGCAGGCGGATCAGACAGGACAGTTTCGAACAAGGACAATTTCTTGCCTTGTAGGTTATATACTCTCCTCATAAAATGACCCTGGGAGAGTGTTTCCTCCTCTTTTTCCTCTGGAGCACGTGTATAAGAGGGATAAAACCATGGAAGGGTTTGGTACATGTAGCCGTCACATTGTTCATCCTTCTGCAACCCCACTTTTTTGGTACAGAGTCTTGGGTTCTTCTGGTCCAACTAAGCTTACAAGTTGTCCTACCCCAACCTCTGTCCTTCTCCCAGGAAAGACAAACAAAACACACGCCTCCGTCATGAGCTCAAACTGAAGTGCTCACAGCTAGCTTAGAAAGCTGTGTTTCTGGTTGTTTACAGGTGAGTCCTTACCTCAAGATGTTAGCATGAAGAGTTGTTTTCAGGCCTGCCCTGTGCCCCTCCAGGTTTCAACAGGTACGTGCCTCTCTTAAACTGTTAACCATCTGTCTTGAAAACCCAGACACAAGATCACTCACTTATCCTTTAGGACTGCCTTCAACACGAGCTGTATTAGGTCCAACTCCAGTGTCCAGAAGTGAGTCTGGCCGAGCTGGGACCCCAGGTTGCCCACCAGGATTGCTTTGTTTTGGGGACATGTTGGAAACTATGTGATCTAAGTCCTGTAAGCACAAAATTAGCTTCTTTCCATATTTTTGAAAGGGAAAGAACACTATACTAAATATAACGTGGGTCAACAAGCCAGAAACAAGATAAATAGCCGCCAGCTGCACCTCGGGGAGCTGGGTGTCCATATCCCCTGGTGAACCCATCCAGACCCTGGTCTCCAGAGAGAGGGTGAAATTAGCAAACAATTTTAAGCCACCATTGGACACATCACCCTGCCTTGAACCCAAAAAACCAAAAACCTTTCCTTTTCTTATTCTAAAAGTGAAATCTGCACATCTCTATGTTTTCCATTGAAAACACAGTCTATGGAATTCTTACTCTAATAAAAGTCTTAAGTAACAAAAAGAAAGAAGAGAAAAATCATTCTAATCCCACCACACAGAGAAAATAACTCTAAATATCTTTGTATGTATAATTTGAACATTTTGAAATTTAATATAATACATTAGAGTTCCTCAACCTTTTTTTTCCCCCAGTAGCATCCCCTAAGGAGTCTTTTCAGACCTTTTTTACAATCCCACCGCCCCCCACCCCATGAAATTTTAATACCACAGATACACTGTGTATCTGTTTATTACCTTGGAGGGCCACAAACCACTGTAATATCTAAGATTATTTTACACCATCCCCAAGAACCATTTTTTGGCCCTGTGGGTGATGTGACCCCACTGAGAATGAAGGCTTTAAATACTATTATATAACTAACCTCTCTATAAGGACTCATAGACCTATATACTGGTGTTATATGTACATTTACTTGTTTACTTATCATAACTCCCTGTGAGGTGAGTACTAGAGAGCTTTTATCTCCATTTTCCAACTGTGGAAATGGAGGCACAGAGAAGTTATGTAACCCGCCTAAGGTCACACAGGTGGGAAAGCACCAAGTAAAGATCTGTGCCCAGGCAGCCTGGCTCTGAAGTTCACACTTAACGACCAAGCTAAGTCGCCTTGTAACAACACATTCGGATTGTAAAAAATTCAAAATGCAGAGATAAGAGTAAAAGGTACACTTTCCAAGCCCTGTCCACCCCCAGAAGCAATTGCTGGTTCAAGTTTGATATCTGCCCCTTGTCTGAGATTATTATATATATTTGTATAGGTGAAAATATATTGTCTCATTTTTATTTTAATGTTTAAGTAGGATCATCCAGTCTTTTTTTCCTACATATTCACACACACATCTGTGTACAGAATTTTTTAAAGGTAGAATCACACTGAACATACTGTTTCTTAAACCTTTTTTTGACTTTAAAATGAATCATTAGCTGCTTTGAGACCATAATTTAATAAGTACGTGTACCATATTTTATTTAACCAGATCCAGATCATTGGCTATTCAAGTAATTTCTTGTTTCTCATTCCACAAAACTATTCTGTATATCCTTGCCTTGTAACGATTCTTAAAAGTTGAAATTACAGAGCCAATGGGTATAAACATGTTTGAAACTTCTGATCCATAAATGCCAACATATGCCATCCAGAAAAACTGTATGAAATTGCTCATCTTAACACCCTCACCCACACTGGGTATTATCTCCTGTTTTCAATCATTGACAATTTAACAGGCCCAAAATGTGTGAATCCTAACATTTTCATTTCTGCCTGTACCTCTCATCTGGGACCTGTTTTAGTCGTGTGACAACATAAGACAAAGCCTGCGCTGAGATGTAAGGAGAGCAGGAAGGAGGGAGGTTAAAGGGGCCCCAGTCACTGGTTCAGGTGAACTCACCAGCAGCCTCCCTACAGGCCTACCTGTCATGCTCCAGGCAGGTGCCCAGTAAGTGGCTTATCATCTCCTGCTTCCAGCACAGTCCTGGGGCTCCATCTCTCCACCACCTTCTCCTCCACCTCTGGCCTAGTCTCAGACCCATTTGGCAGAACCAGTGCATTTCTAGGGCTGCCAAACCCCTCATCTGTCCCTTCATTGGCCAGGAGTGAAATGTAAGAAACAAATACCCTTGTATGTACAGTAGCCTGTTCCCAGCTGGTCCACTGCAACTTTCTGCAGTGGGGTCCCTGTTCAGTTCCCTGTATGGATACACGTACTTATTCACACACCACCATGCACACATATACATGCTCGTACACACCTGTGCATATGTGCACACACACACACAGTACAGTGCCTTCCGGGTACTGACCCTATGAGGAGCAGTAGGACCCTTCTCCATCAGAGACTTTGCAGATTCTTTCCAGCTTGGGCTGGGACACCTGGCTGCCCTAATTCCACAGTTCCAGCCGTTCCTTCCTACTTTATTGTTACTCCTCATAGATGGTTTTCCTGCTTCCCTGGAAGCCCCACTCACCCCTAACTTGCTCAGCGGTGTTTCTCCAGGGCCAACCACCGCCTAGCAGATGCACAATAAGTATTTGTCAAGTCAAAAAAAAGAAGGAACAGACTTCAAGGCGATGAAGGATGTTATCCCACATATTTTTAGAGTATTTTTTAACAAAGTGGCCAGTTTCATATTGAGCTCATTGTTTGATGAGAAAATATCTCTGTAGCATCAGATTTCAAACGGCCTGGTTAGCCGTCCTTTTGGAAAGATCGGAAAGAATGCAGAATTGAAAACAGGACATTGCCCATCTAAACACTACAGAGTTTTATTGCTCTGCAAAGGTTGCTGTCCCAGGAGCAATGTATTGCAGATTGGTTAGCATTGTTTGTGGGTCCTCCTGGCCCTGGAAAGTGTTCTGAGTTACCTACCTTCAGTGACTTGGTTCTCTGGCTTACTCTCCCAGCCAGCAAATGGTTCTGGTATCCCAGGATAGATGACTGCTCCCTTCAGCATAAGGTGCCTGCGCTGCTTCATGCGTAGAGGGTTTCTTGTCCAGCTGGGCACAGCAGCTAAGATGAGGAATGTGCAGGCTTCTGCCCCTTTAAAAAAAGCAGAACCCCATGTGGCTAAAGAGAAGCTTGTCTTGCAGGGTGGCTTCATGTGGCCTCTGTTCATTTCATTCAGTTGATTGAGCAGTTTTTGAGTCCCCACTATGTTGCAGGTGCAGAGATGAAGATGTGGTCTGGGAAGAGAGAGACTTGCCACAGTAGTCGATGGAGCCTGTGGAAGCACATGGAAAGGACAGCTGAGCTGGGGTGATCAGGGAACCGTGGAAATGCTGGAAGGGGCGGGGTGTGAGGGGGGAGATGAGTGGGAGTTGCAGCCACAAGCATGATTCTAAGGAGCCTGGATTTTCTGCTTTGGGAAATGGGGAGCCATTGAGGGTGGTGACCAGAAGCAGTAGGCTGTCTGGACTGGACCATATCATTGGCTGGTGCCTGTCACCGAGGCAGTTCTGCTCAAACTATTGATCATGGCTTAGACCTGCCATCATTCACACCCCTTGCCATACCTGGTAAGAGTTGAGATTTTACTGCAGTTCATTAAATTCCACAAAATGTTTTAATGACCTGGAGCGCTGACCTTGCTGGCCTCCTGCAGGGAAAGGTCTGGCTTTTCCTTTTCGGGTGGGTGCAGGCAGATCAGCCTGCCTTCTCTTCTGCAGGCTCACAGAAGGAGCTCGAGCACGTAAGACATCTGGAATGCATTGAAGGCGAGGCCCAGCCAGAGCCTGTCCTCAGTCCTGCTTCTGAACTCCGTCAGGAGTGCAGGCGCTGCGCTCACAGAAGCGTCTGGAGTCGGAACTGATTTGCCTGTCTCCGTTCTGCTTTCTTTTCAGACCTCTCAGCCGTCTGCATGGGACGCCTCACACTTGCTAGAAGCCGCCCCTGGAGAGGTCAGCTGCTGTTCTGCGAGTGTGGCACTAGGGGTTTTGTTCAGCGCGTATAATTTTCTGCTACTACTGCCTGTTTATTTCTGTTCTTTCTTTGAGCCCGGCCTTGCCCTGAGCCCACGGGCACGATGGCCCAGTCCAAGGCCAACGGCTCACACTATGCACTGACGGCCATCGGCCTGGGGATGCTGGTCCTCGGGATCATCATGGCCATGTGGAACCTGGTACCCGGGTTCAGCGCCGCTGAAAAGCCAACGGCTCAGGGGAACAACAAGACGGAGACAGGCAGCGGCATTCTCAAGAGCAAGACCTTCTCTGTGGCCTACGTGCTGGTTGGGGCTGGGGCAATGCTGCTTTTGCTGTCCATCTGCCTGAGCATCCGGGACAAGAGGAAGCAGCGGCGGGGCGAGGAGATGGCAAACATCCAGGGTCAGCATGGGGCCGAGCCTCATGCCCAGGAGGAAGACAGGTGAGGACCGGCCGACCCGCCCGCCACCGGGGTGCACACACGCACACACTCACAGCATCCAGTGATGGGATTATTTCAGTCCAACAGGCTTCACCTGCCCCTTTCTCCCATGAAGGCTCTACAAAACAGTTTATAATTTTACAAATGACTATATACTTCTATTCCAGAGTTTCCCAAATAATGCAGTAGGGATGGATTACAGGTGTAACAAGATTTTGACACCCCCAGGGAAGCTGCCTGGGGCAGCCCGAGCCCCCAGGCGGGCTGGTTGTCCATTCACCGCAGCACATTGTGCGTATATGCTTTGAGCGGAACAGGTTGGGAAGCGGTGTCCTACTTGACCAAACATGCAAATTTAAGAGATACAGGGCAAGTTGGGGAATGTGTGATAAAGGTTGCCATCCCTCTTACAAGAAGAGCCCTTACACCTGAATGTGAGATGTACCACCAGCAGGAGACTGGGCACTGGGATACAAGCAAGCATTTCACAGACATTCAGATAATACGTGTTCAACCTCATTAGTCAGGAAATGCAAACAAAACGAGGAATCATCATTCCTTGCTGCTGATGTTCA